TTAACAAAAATATTACAAAATAAAAATTATAGAATCTTATCCATCACTTATACTTACAGACTCAAAATCTGGTTGCATTTCTGGACAAGAGGGATTTGTCCAGGAATGCCACATTGGTTTAACATTTTAAAAATAGTCAGTGTAATTCACCACAGTAAGAGAACAAAGAAGAAAAACCACATTATCATTTCAATAGAAGTAAAAAGAAAGCATTTAGCAAAATTCAGCACCCTTTAAAAAAATTAGAGCCAATATTCTACTTAGATATTACAATCAATATCATACTTAAATAGCAAATGTTCTGTCCTTAACATTGGGAACAAAGAAAGGATGTCAACACTATTCCATCCTATAGTATAATATAACAAGAAAAAGTATAAAATTGTGAATTAAGAAATAAAACTGGGGCTGTAGTTGTAACTCAGTGGTAAAGCACTTGGCTAGCATGTGTAATACACTAAGTTCTATCCTCAGCACAACACTAAAAAATAATAAAGTTATTATGTCCATCTACAACTAAATGTTTTTTTAAAAAAAGTAAGACTATCTTTAATTGCAGGAAACATGGTGTTTATGGAGAACATAAGGATCTTAAAGAGTCTATTGATCATTAAAATTAGTGAATTTAGCAAGTGCTCAGGTAAAAACTCATTATATTTTTAATATACCATATAGAAAATGAAATTCAAAAAACAGTTACAATAGTATTTTTTAAAACTAATTGGATTATTTTTTCCCAAAACAAGCATGATCTCTATCCTGAAAACTGTAAAATGTTACTGAGTGAAATTAAGGACCTAAATTAATGAAGAGATAACATGTTCATGAATTGGAAGATGCAATATTGTTAAGATGGCACTTCTCCTCAATTTGATGTATAAATTGAATGCAATCCCCACCAAAATTTTGCCATGCATTTTTTAAAAATAGAAATTGACAAGTTATATATGTTAATTATGTACAATTTTTTTGTACATACTTCAATAAAGTGGTTTTCAAAAAGGAAATTGATAAATTGATTCCAAAATTTATATTGAACCAAAAAACGAAAAATATTTAAAGTGGTACTTTTCCATAGAACTTTCTGTGATAATGAAAATATTCTCTACCTCTAAAATTCAGTATGAATAACCATATGTGACTATTGAGTACTTAAAAAAGTTCCTAGTACTGGGTGCTATGACATACACCTGTAATCCCAGTGACTCAGGAAGCTGAAGTATGAGAGTCACAATTTTGAGGCCAGTCTCAGCAATTTAGGGGCACCCCATCTTTAAAAAAGGGTTGGATATGAAGCTCAGTGGTATAACAACCCTGAATTCAACCAATCCCCAATACTTCCCTTTCTCGCCTCCCCCAAAAAGGCAAAAGTTTCTAAAAGAAAACTCGAGTACAGGCAAAGATTTCTTAGGTCATAGAAAGTAATAACCATGAAAGAATAAATTGATAAATTAGATTTAATTAAAATTTCTTGTGAAAAGATAACAAAAAATGCAAAGGGAAGCCACAGACTTCAAAAAATATTTGCAGTACGTACCCATATCTGACAAGGAACTGAGGTTCAGCATATATAAAAATCAGCTGCAACTCTTGATTTTTTTAAGACAACGTAACTTAGAAGTGGTCAAAAGATTTGAGTAGATTTCTTCACAAAAGATATATAAGCCAGGCAAGGTTGTGTACGCCTGTAATCCCAAGACATGGGAGGCTGAAGCAGGAGAATCTCAAGCTCAAGACCAGCCTCAGCAATTTAGCAAAGCCCTAAGCAACTTAATGAGACCCAGTGTCAAAATAAAAAGAGATGGAGATGTGGCTCAGTGGTTATATGTCCCTGGGTTCAATCCCCAGGTTTAATCCCCAGTACAAAGAAAAAAAGAGAAGAAAATATATAAAAAGCCAATAACACAACATCTTTAGTCATCGGGGAAAGACAAACTCAGACCAAAATATTACTACCCATCCACTAGCAGAGCTAAAATTAAAAAGACTGGAAACCCCAAATGAGTCCTAGGTCTGGCCAGTTGAGTGAAGCAACTGGAATTCCCATACTTTGTTCGAAGTGTAAAACTGTACATCCCTTTTGGGGGAAAAAAGGCAATTTCTTAATATAGCTGAACTTATACCTCTCTTATAAACCAGCGATTCCACTCTTAGGTATTTGCCCCAAAGAAGTGAAAGTACATACACACACACACCTGCACAAGAACATTCATAGAAGATATTCATTAACAGAAATATTGATAAATTGCCCTATAAACAAGCTCATATGATCCTACAGGGGAATTCATATAATTTAACTGTCTGGTTTGCTTTGGAGTTTTCTAGGATGCAGGACAACAAGCATTAAATCTAGGAAACTCAAGAGCAAACAGGAAGACTGGATTACCTCACAATTAAAAAGAACTAATTACTGATACATCCAGCCTTATGGATAAACCTTAAAAACGTGGAGAGAACAAAACCTGCAAGAATTCACCTTCTGAGATTCCATTTACATGAAGTTCTAGGCAGCTTGAGCTAAGCCATAGAATAGAAGGAGGGGAGTGTTTATACCTGGGGCATTGACTGATGGGAAGGGGTATACAGGAACTTTGGGTATCCATGATACTGTTATGTATTTGGGTAGAGATTGGGGTTACACAGGTGCTAAAGCCTTATTTTTCATTTTGTAATCCTGTATTTTGCAGGATGAATCTTATTTCGTTTTTTAAATCTGTGAGTTTCTTTTATTGTTTTACATATGTAATTTAGCTACCGGTTGTTTTGTTTTATTCAATGATTCTTTGTTTTCTTACAACCTTTGTAAAAATTTTTTATTAGTATTTACAAGTTTAAGCAGAGTGTCTCTATAGTATAACATATCCTTTTAAGCCATCATCTTATTTCTCAATGTAGTGAATATAAACTTCTTATGGTTATTTTAGGTAATTCTTATAGAATTCTGTTTTCTTGTTCTTGCTACCTTACTCTTCTTTAATAGCATAGTAATATTTCAAAAATTTTTTTAGTTTTCGATGGACATTTATTTATTTATTTATTTATTTATTTATTTATTTATTTATTTATGGTGCTGAGAATGAGACTTGAACCCAGTGTTTCACATGTTAGGCAAGCCACTAAGCCACAACCCCAGACCCAATAGCATAGTACTTTTAAAACTACACCTGAGCAGAGAATAGTGGTATGCATGTGTAGTCCCAGATATCAGAAGGCCTGGGCAGCATAGCAAGACCCTCATTTCAAAAAAAAATCTGGATTGGTTTTATATTAACTTTTTTTGTTGTTAACATTTATTGTTTCAGATTTATGGAAGTGAATGAGCTCAAAGAAGATACTATCTCAACATCTTTTAAATGTATAAAATGTACATCTAAAATGTATTAAAAAATATTATAAAGGAAATTACTTTCTAAAATTTTTAAATAATTTTTAGTTGTAGATGGACACAATACCTTTATTTTGTTTATTTATTTTTATGTGGCGCTGAGGATCAAACCCAGTGCTTCACACCTGTGAGGCAAGTGCTCTATTGCTGAGCCAAATTCCCCAGCCCCAGGAAGTCATTTTTGATAATAATTCTCAACAATGTTAGCCCTAGTATACCCCTCTAGTAGTAAGAGTTTCATAACTGTTGCTGTCCTGAAGTTAATAATGTCTAACCTTCTGCACATATAAAATTCAACATAATTACTCTAGTTGTAAGATAAGAAAGAAAAGGTAATCAATAAATATGTCAATTATAAATTTGGGGCATGATATACTAGTCAGATGTTTGTATCTAGACATAGAAACCATGAAGGGGCCAGTTGCAAATGCAGAATATTACAAGGTATTTTTCTTTGGTCACATACACCAAGTAGTATTGCTGTCAATGTCATGATTTTTTGAAACATTCGAACAACTCTTCATAAAATTCTGAACAAAACAAAGTGCAGATTTCCCTCTATTTACACATTATATTTTTTTCTGGAAATTATTGCATATGTTTATGCAAACATAAAACTTTGTTTATATGTAAAACTGAGTTAAATTCAGTCCAGATAATTATAAACAGTTCTTAATCTTCATGAATATCCAGGAAGATATTTGAAAGTTACAAGATGAGGGAACAATTCTTCTATGTGGAAGACTCCCCTGCGAATTTCAGGTCATATAGCATTCCTGGATCTTATGTCCTAAATATCATAATCACTCCTTAATCTCAAGACAATCAAAATACAAAATTGCGAACACCATACAGGGATCTCTTTGAAAATGGTGTCATTTCTCAGAATGCTTTTAATGCATAAGATAAAATATGTAGAATTTCAAAGGAAACCAATTGTACTGAAATAAAACCCCCAAGTTAAGAATCCCTGCAAAAGGTGATATGTACACTCTTTTCCAATGTACATACTACTGTTGAGAACCACTAAGTTATAAGGGATTTCTATATTTGGAAAAATGGTGAAAATTATGGGCTTAAAATGTTATATATTTGAAAGTACATTTGAGTGCCTTAATCACTTTATCATCCGCATAATGGCAAAATAGAAAACTAACATACACTCTCTAATGGACTGGAATAGCTGAGGAACTGACTCTCTCTCCTACTTTGTAGCAGAAATTAAGTGTACCAAATGGACTGATGCTTCTATTTTCCATTCATTTCTCATTACTAAACTATCTGATTAGCATTAATTAAAGTTCAGATCTTTTGCCAATTTGTCTATTCATATGTTACTTAAGGGAATAGGTAACCTTGGCAGAACAAAATCTTCCTCCAGCTGCCATTTGGCAAGTTGGTGAAGAACTTACACACATTAGCTTACACATATTAAACACAACATGTAATTCTAGGAATAGGAATTGTAAAGCAAGATATCAAGAATTTATTTCAATAGGCACCCACTCAGTGCTTTCTAGGAGTGCTTTGTAAGAGGTGACCATACGGCTGTGGACAAATAGCTTGTGATGACTAATGTGCAGAACATCATGATGATGAATTTTGTTTCTTTTAGGGTATGTCTCTGTGCCAGACAGTCGTCGTAGGCTCTGTAGTCATTCTTCTCTACTCGTCCAGAGCTTGTTATAATTTGGTGGTGATCACCATATCTCAGGATACATTAGAAAGTCCTTTTAATTATGGCTGGGATAATCTTTCAGATAAGGTAAGTATCTACCACATATTGCCAATCTTCCATTAGTATAATTGGTAATTATATTAGCCTTAGCTAGGAGAAAATTTTAGTGTTTGTCATATGCACACGTTTATAGAATCTCTGTGTTTAAATATCCTAATTTTCATGTGACTTAAGCTCTTTCTTCAGAAAGAACTTTCAAAGGAGTATTTTATTTTTGTAAATAATAATAATAACATAAGCCTGATGATCATAAACCTAATTTACCTTTTTTAAAGAATGATGTTTAAATAACACTACAAAAATTAATTGTCTGTAGTTAGCCAATGGGCATATCTTTAATTTTTTGGATGAAATTAACTCTTCCTTCCCAATAATTCCATATAATTAATATTGGCTTTGTTTTAGATGTATAAATAGTGAGTTTCTTTAAAATATAGAATTACCCATCTTACTAGAAAGCATTCATATTTCCTTAGGTGTCCAGATATTTACTGTAGTAATTGCCAATACACTAGCTATACATATTCAACTTCCCAACATTCTCCATCCCCTTCCTGAAAGTGCAGTTGGACATAAGTGTATGTCATATCTTTTTATTAATTTAACTTTGTACTGAATTTGAGGCAACCTAGAAATATCATGTTTATTTTATCTTTCCAGGGAGAAGGAATTTTCACATGTGGTTCCATGTGGCAGATTCTCTTCACTCCTTTTCCCATTTCCCTCTCTCAACATCTAGTAGAAAAGAAACAAATTCATTATGTAGATTAGGCACGAAAGCATATTTTAAGTAGCAGCTGAGCTGAGTGACTTAACATGTTACATTTCTGTACAGGTCTAACTCAGGGTGAGTGCTATTGTGCCAGCAGAGCAGCTAGAATAATAGTCCCTTTTAAGCAACTCTCTTTAGACTATGAGGCCTAAAATTAGGTCATTCCTTGTTATCCAAAGATTAAAATTATTTTCATAAACTGATGCATTGAACAAATTAACAGCTTTTATTCTACTTAACATCAAAGCATTTTTATGTCCCGTAAAGGAAAAAGTATTGTTAATAAACCACAAAATATAGAAAATTTTAGAGTTTATATGCTTGTAATTGATGCATTTTAACTTAACCCAACCTGAAATGAGGCAATTATATAGAGTGATTGCTTATACGTAAAACAGGTATTAAAATGGTTCTGCCATGTTCTATTTACAGGCTCATGTAGAAGATGTAAGTGGAGAAGACTATATAGTCTTTGGAATGGTCCTCTTTCTGTGGGAACACGTGCCAGCCTGGTCAGTGGTACTGTTTTTCCGAGCACAGAGATTAAGCCAGAATTTGGTATGATATCCTACTACCCCCCCCCACTGCTTGTTTCCTTATTTTTAAAAAATATGGAACACATATTGATTTTCTATTTTTAGCAAAGTTTTAGACTGAAAATCTTTATAGATTCTAGCCTCTTTTCCTAGTTAAATAGCATGTACTATCTAATACTTTATTCACAGGCACCTGCTGGCATGATAAACAGTCACAGTTATAGTTCCAGAGCTTACTTTTTTGACAATCCAAGACGATATGATAGTGATGATGACTTGCCAAGACTGGGAAGTTCAAGAGAAGGAAGGTAGATGTGACAAAAATAACTTATTCTGAATTTAATATCAAAATAGCTTGAAAGAATGAATCTAAGCTTTAGCCCAAATATTAGAAAGGTGATGTAATGGAATATGTCAATAAATATGTAATACTGAAGCTTAAAGCAGTAGATGTCTAACCCAGGTGGTATCTGCACTATAAAGAACTACCATCGGACTCAAAGCCTATATATTACCTTAGTTTGAGAAATGAGTTAGGGACAAAATGTATTTCATTTCATTTTCAGGACCCTTGTTTCAGAGCTGGGGGGAGGAGGAGGGGTGTGAGCAGGGAAGGAATGCTGTTGTACTGATTACATATCTGTTTCTATATTCCTAGTGCTGTTCCAAATCCACAAAGAAATATTAGATAACTTTGGGAAGTTTAGGTGCCTGAGGAAATTTTCCTATGCCCTCTTGTTCCAAAACTACTGCAAGTTTTTAACTAGTATACTCTTAGCTCTGTATCAGGGCAAAGAGAAAACCTAATGCACACCTTCATAATTCTTTGAACTTGATATAACATTTTGGGTAATGCTAACTTCATTTGGAAAGTTCCTTGAACACAGTTTTTTGAGCCTATATTTTCATTTGTAAATAGGGAAGAAAATAGAACCTAGCTCAAAGGATTGTAGTGAAGGATGAGTGTATGTGTGTTTGTATACATACATATATGTCTTAGAATAGAGCCTAGAATAAAATAAGTACTATATTATTATTAATCATAGTAAGTTAATAAATGTTACCAGTTCTGAGAGGTGTGTATTCATTCTTTTGTAATATAATGTGATACAGATCGAAGATTCCAGATAGGTCATTGGATTTTATAAAAAAATCATGGTTATTTTCAAAGAACCTTTCAGCATATTTGATACTGTTATGAAATTCATTGAAAATGTTAAAACTGCCAACGTGACTTCTCACATACTGATCATAGTCCATTGGCTTCTTTGCCTTTTTTGTTGTTTGTTTGCAGTTTATCAAATTCGCAAAGCTTGGGCTGGTATGGCACCATGACTGGGTGTGGCAGCAACACTTACACAGTCACTCCCCACCTGAATGGACCTGTGACAGATACGGCTCCTTTGCTTTTTACTTGTAGTAATTTAGATATGAGCAATCACCATAGCTTATATGTAACACCACAAAACTGATAGCATTACCAAGTTGTGATTCTTGAATTGTTTTTCATGAATATGTATATTCGACGTGTTTAAATTCCATCTACATGAACATTCCATTATCTGTTGCAACTGAAAACAAAATCTGGAAACCTGGCTGTGTTTGGTGGAGAACACAAGCTGTTACTTTTGACCTCTGCTTAGTAAAATTAAGTAAAATGGAAAGTTTGGAGTAGGAGAAAAGATAAATTAGATTTTTAAGGCCTCCAAACATCCTGATTTTGGAACACCAACTGCATATTAGCATATTTGCACTTTTATCTCTGTTCTGAAAGAGTACACTGCAGTCCCCAATGTCATACTCCAGTGTTCACACTGGAATATTATGTACACCAAATTGGAAGGCACGTTTTCTACGAAAATCAAAGCCTATATATTTTGTGGTGTACTCTGTGGAATCTTTATCCAATTACAATTTTATGGTGTGAACAGTGCACAGTTTAGGCATAAAAATACATCATTCATTTTAAAATCCACTAAATATATGTAATCATTGAAGACAGTTCTTTTAAGCATGAACTTAAAATACCAATTGAGATTATTCAAACAATCATTTTAAACAACTAATAGTATAATCCTTTACAGTAATGACCAGCAATGTTGTTTGGAAAGCCACAGTAATTTCTTCAAGAAGAAAATATACCAGTGAAAATTGTGTGGCTATTTTGATTAGAATTGGTCAAGTGATTATTTTGTACAATTAAGATATATATGTAGTAGTTTAAGCATGATTCTTCAAGAAAGCAATAGTGATTTTTGCATAGGGAGATTTTGGTAGAAACTTCTTGGGACTAAACAAGTTTACAGATGCATTTAAGAATTGTTCATAAAATATGCATTGTAAAACAAATGTTTTCAAAAGCATCTGATCTAAAACAAAATAGCTGATCTTACCTATTGAATCAGGATTGTCCTCAGGTAAATTCAATCATGATACATTATTGCAGTGAATTTAAGTGCAATACTTTGTAAGACATATAATTCCTCCTTTAGTTTTTACATTTTTATACATTGTATATGGTTTAAAAACTAAATTGAATTCAAATTAATTTCAGCACTATACTAAATGAGCAAACTTAACATAAAAGTATGAATTAAGTTTGTATAAAACCAGAGGTTAACAATATTTGAATATTTTAGAATTACATTAAAACTGTATTGAATGACCAACCCCAAGTCTAAACAATATTACATATGGTAGGCTAAGACAATACAGAATTTTAAAATGCACTTTCTACCAGTGTCTATATGGAAAGTAGATGCTGAATACCTCAAGAAGCCAAGGGAACAGACAACAAGGAAGTTGTTACAACATGCTTAAAGATGATTATATACAATTGTCTTCTGATCTTTTTCTTCAGAATTAGAACTAATACAACTGTCATTTTTCTTCTTCTTTGATTAGAACATTGTTTTATTTCTACTCCTATTTAAAATATCTTTCAGCTTTTTAATAACTGATATAGTGACTTCACAAAAGTTTAACAGTAGGTAAAACTCTTAAGGAAAAAATTAAATTGTTAATACTTTTTATCTTTTGGGAGACTAGTACAAAGCCAAACAAATTTCCTCTTTTTATGATACAAAGGACTTTAAATTCAGTAGGTGTGCTGCCAAATCAAGCATGAAAGGACTTTAAATTCAACTGGATGCATACTAATAAATGTTACTTGGTATTTGTTTATAAATTCTTATACTCAAATTATTTAAAATTTTATAGTAAAAAAGTTAACCTTGGTATTAAGATGACAACTAAATAGTATATTTTTACCACATCCTCAGTTCCTAGATTTCAGAATGTCAACTATTTATTTTGCTGATAATATTAGGTATCTAAATATCTACAGCTATCTGAAAAGATCTGTGTTGTCTTTGTTAAGCCTCAAGTTCAAGGTGATAAAATAATTTTTTTCCTATATCAAAGGTCCTATTTGACCAGGTAAACAATGATTAGTTTAATTTTTTCTCAAATAAAATAGATTTGGTCCTTTTAGCTGCATTAGTTGATTATATCAAATTTGAAATTTATAAGTTTATCCTGTTTTCACAGACTAGGATACCTAAATTCTTGCATTTGTCTCCCGATATACATCTCCTACAATATATCACCAAAGACGAAGAAAGATCTGGCCTAATTTTTGCTTAAAAATTCCAAAGCACTAGGAGCACTTTAAGTTTGGTCTCGAAAGAAGGAGTTGTTTATAAAATCAAAGGGCTACCGATTCCCTGTTCATCCTGCACTGAAGCACATAATGACAATTTCAAACCTTTCTTTTGTATTCATTAATTAGAAAAATGAATTTCATTGCTTAAATGTGTAATTCTACAGTGACTAGCAATATTTGTTATCATTTCATTTGGATGGTCATTAATTTTGAATCTCTTACCACTCATTGTAACTGGTTGTAGTTTTATGGAAGATGTAATTTATAGCTAAAGTGGCTTTTTTATGCATAGCTGCCTTTTTTATTGTTTAACAGTGTTTCTCAGCTATATAATCAGTTTCAAACTGGTTATAAAATATAGCTGTGGCCAATGAATGTATTGATTTTTCGTTTCACTAAATTGTAACAAAACATTACTATTAAAAATAAAAAGTGTTTGTGCTTTTATTTAGGGGTCTGGTCATCTTTTTTTTTATTAGAGCTTTATGGTTGGGGGTCTGGTTTTCTTAATCCTCCTTAATCTCTCTTATACTGAGTTTCTATCAGAGGATAAAAATCTTATAGTGTTATCATAGAAAAGAAAAAATATTAGGAATTACAAATGACAGCTTTCTTCTAGTGATCTCACAATTACTTGCATCTGAATCTTATGTTACTTAGTATTATACACCAATTTGATACGAAGTGTCATATACTCTAAAATGCCAATGTTATTAGGTATTATGTATTTAAGCTAAAAAAAATCCTTATGTAAACTAATTTATAACACTTCTGTTTCCCCTTAGCATCGTAAACAGGAATCAATTTGTTTAAACCATAATCCCAGCTATCTTTCATTATTCAAGAAATTCCTCGGTGATGCTGCCTTTTCCTTTGAGAGTTCTCTGCCTGTCTCCAGACTAGACCCCCTTTCATGGGCCACCAAAAACCATACCTGGGCTGGAGCTGGAGCTCAGTGGTAGAGCACTTGCCTCACACATGTGAGGCACTGGGTTCAATCCTCAGCACCACATAAAAATAAATGAATAAATAGAAATATTGTGTCCATCTACAACTAAAAGAATTAAGAGAAAAAAAAACACACCCAATCTCATATTGAACTTCAGTTTTATTGGCCCCCTAAATTCTATGAATCCTTGGAAGTCTACTGATCCTTGCTGTAGAGTGAAGTGAGTAGAGGTATTTGGCATGAAGGTATCACCTCTCATATGATAAATTTGTCACTTTAAAAGCAATTTATTCAACAAACATTTATTAAATGTTCATATGCCAAAAACTATGCCACGGAGATGCCAAAATGAATAAAGTTCCTTTTCCTGCCCTTGAGGAGCTCACATTCTAGTAAAGGAGACTTTTAAAAACAAAATCAATACAGTACAGTAAGTGATACAGTAGAGGTAGGCTGTAATTACAGTGGTGACACAATAGGAAGTTAGATGACACTCCCTGAATACAGCAAGGGAAAGTCATAGAAGGAATGCTTATGCTGAGCCTGCAGGGATACATGGAAATTTCCAGGTGGGGAAGGATGGCTAGGACACTTGATGCAAAGAATATAGCTTTCACCAAGGTGTAGAGACCCAGCCACTTGCGGTATCTGAAGAACTACAAGTCTGGTAGTAGGTTTTTCAGCACATTAGGTGGGAAGACACAGGAGAGGAATTTGTACACCAAATAAAGGACTTCGGCTTTCTCCAGAAAGTTCATGAACTCAATGAAGGGTGTAAAGCAGACAGTAAAATTGTCAGAATGCTCCCAGAAAGCCTAACTGATAACACTGTAGAGCAACAAAGAGAAGACAAACTGGTTATAAGGAGACATGTTCACATAGTCCTTCGGGTAATAGCAATGAAACGGGAAGAGTGATGCATCAGAAAGGAGGAAGAAAAACAGTAGGAGAAAGTAGAGAAGAGGAATGAGGCAAGAAGACTTAGAAGATGATGGTTCTGAAATTAACCAAAGTAAGGAAAATAAAGAGTAGAGAGAATAAAAAGTACTTAAACACACACACAGGTGACCGTAGGACAATCAAGTGAACTGCAGTAAGCAAACATATGGAGAAGTTTGAGCTAAAGGTAAGGATTTAGCAATCATTGAATTGGTATTACCCAAGAGTAGGAAGTGGTATAGTGATAAAGAGACCAAGAATGAAAGTCTGAGGAATTACATTTGGGGAATAAATTAAGAGGCCAAAAAAGAGGCGTCCAAGAGCAAGTAAAATGAGGAACCCAAAGAGCAGAAATTTTTAAAGGAAGTTATCATCAGTAGTGTCAAACATGGGGGGGAAAGCCAAATAAAAAATAGTTTTATGTGCCCCCTCACCCTGAAAAAAGAAAGAAAAGAAATAGTTTGCGAACTGAACTATGGATTTAGAATTAGGATTTTAGACCTCACGGGAAGCGACTGAGCAGAACTAGGGCCAAATGCCAGATTTTAGTTAAAAGGTTAGGCAGACATAGGAAAGTGATGGTTTCAAAACTTAACTGGCTGTTGAAAAAGGTATGGGGGGAGGAGCATAAGATGAGAAAAAAGTTTATACACAAATTTAATATTTAAGCCCATCTACCATATTTTCAGAGATGAGAAAGATCCTTAAACATTTATATATGGAGATCACTTCATAGTCCTTTGAGTTGCCAAAATAATTGACTTAATTAGTGGGTTAATGTTTTCTTTTCCTGCCTTATTCAGAGAAAATGTGGGGGGGAGAGGGTGGAAGAAGGAAAACAGAACACATATTTTTTAACTTAATTCAGTGAACATTCAAAATATACCGAATACATATTCATACATTAATTTAACAAATATTTATTGGATACCAATTATGGGCTTGGCATTGTACCTGGCCTTAGGGTCATAGAAAAGAAAAAATATACAGTGTAAACCCTGCTTTACTAATAACATCAACATGTTATCCCTGCTAAGATTTATAGAAAGTGGGCACATAATTTTGAGGTATACAATTTCTTTTCCCCCACAATTATCATATGACATTAATTCCTAAGCTCCTTCAAGTATTTTTTCACTGAAGAGCTTCCACTAATGAAAATCTCCCAAATTACAGTTCACTTTTGGGGAGGCAAAGGAAATGATGCTCATGTATAAAAAATAGAAACTGTATACTCTATGACTAAACGGATTAAAACATAAAAAAGGTAACAAAACTTTAGATTATAATTAATAATAATTCCTTATTTTAAGGCTTATAGTATTATAGTTTCAGATTTGGGGACCTGGGGCTTCTTTTTCTAAGAAAATCAATTTTAGAAAATCATTCAGTATTACACACTAAAGTATTTAGGGTTAGAAGGACAAGATGCCTGTAACTGACTTTCAAATGAGGAAAAATAGCATTTGTGAATATCTACACAGAGAGTATCAAAGACAAAGCAAATGTGAACAGTTGGCAAATCTGGGTAAAAGAATGTACTATTTTTGAAACTTTTCTGTAAATTTGAAATTATATAAAAATAAAAAGTTTTCCCCAAATTTAGTTTTAGGGAAAGTATTATGAGAATAAATATATAATCTATTCAATTTTTCACAATGCTTAGAAATCTCCTATGCCTTTGCCTTGTTATTGTACTTTTTACATACCAAACAACCCAATCAAAATAGAAATATAACTCTCAACATGATTTATTTCATACCAAAGTATCTTAGGGTTTCCAAATAAAACACAGGACTCCCAGTTAAATTTGAATTTCGAATAAGTAATGAATAATTTTTAGTTAAGTATGTCCCAAATATTATATGCAACATACTTATATTTAAAAGAAAACTAGCTGTTGACCTGAAATTCAAATCCAACTGAGAATTCTGTATTTTTATTTGTTAAATCTTGCAACCCTAAATGTATTTAAAAATTCTAGACTATTATGGGCGATTCATGAAACTCATTACATTTTCTTATTAAATGCTTATCACATTGCCAGTTTTATTTTTGTTACATCTTCTTACACAGAATTGAGAGACTTAAAACATCATTCACCTAGTTTTATCATCTGTGAATCTGATAATCCTGCTTTTATTCAATATTAAACTTTAAATTTGTATCACATTATCAAAGTATTACTTTTACTCACAATAATATTAAACATAGACTTAGCACAATTAAAAAAATTACTTAAAACAATATAATTCTCCTTTACAAAAGCAGCTTTATATAAAATGTTTGGCTTAAGACTGTCATTGCTTTATGCCTTTGAATGAAATTCCACTCTTTGGCCTCCATAGTCCAGAAATACGTATATTCAACTCGTTTTCCTTAATGAATATTTTGTAACAAGTTCCTGAAGTTTTCTAATTCTTTCACACTTGTAGAAATTCTGTAATCAAAAAATATTAACTCAGAAACCATTTTAGAAAAATTTGCTCTGTAAAAGTTATTCACTTTACATTTTTAAGAGTACAGAAAAATTTTAATTTATTTCAATAAAGCAAAAGGTGCATAAACCATTTAATCTATTTTGATGTACTTCAGTTCTTAATTTGACATAATAAAACTAAAATAATATTATCCAGAAATTATTTTTAATTTAATTAAAGCAAAAAATACATAATTATGGAGTACACAAGTATCAAAATACTTAAGTACTTTAAGTATTCAAAACTACATTCATTACTTAATATTAAAGTAATAAAGTACACAAGTATTTGTATAAAAACATAAGTATTAAAATACTAAAGTATTTTAAGTATTCATAAATATATTCATATGCTTAATATTAAAGTACATATTATAAAGTATATAAATGAAGATATATTAAAATATTTTAAATATGTACAAGTATACAAATACTTAAAAATAACATGCTATTATTTATTAAATGTTCAAAGCTTTCAGTCTATAAAGAGTAAGGATAATAAATGTATGAACAAGTTGTTTTCACAATTTTTACAAAATGTGAAATTTGTTTCTTATTATTTTTTTGTGTGTGCATGCACATGTGTATTCCTTATGTCAATAAAACTCTGTTAATCCAGTACGATAAAAATAGCAGAACACTCAGTGGAAATAACTGTCAAGCTCCTGGTACTTGAGAAATAATACGAAAAGTCAATTATTTCAAACCTCAAATATTAAATCATATTTCTTAAGTAAAGAAACAGTCCTTTAAAAATGTTCATTTTGGGGGTTGGGATTTTAGCTCTGTGATAGAGTACTTGCCTAGCATGCACAAGGCCCTGGGTCCAAACTCCAGCACCACACATACATAAACACAAAATGTTAATTTTTACAAATCTCAGCATTCTTTACATGATAAGCTAGAAGAAAATGCATTTACACTTAATTTTTTATGTATGTTCCTTATTTCATGGTTTTCCTGCTATCATTTTGATAAAAAAATAATTATTTAAAAAGAATCATTAATCAGTAGAATAAAGGGATCAGGGAAGGAAAAGGGAAAGTACAGGGATAGAGACTGATCAAATTATGGTATGTG